ATTCTCCTTGGCGTTCGCCGTGGATCAAGGGCTTTGTAGTTCGCAGTGCTTCGAGGGGTACTATAAGGGATCTATAAGGGTACTATAATATAGGGGCCTTAATAATCCTATATCTTACCTTTGGTTAGAAGGGAATGGAAGAATGGTAGTAATAGTAGTTCTAACTGTACCCCATTCCTCCATTCCCTACTAACCGAAGGTAAGTACTGGGAGCGGTACTTGGCGACTCCATCCTTCTTGGCTCTGAGTGGCCAGGGACTTGCCTCCAGGATAAACCGCCTCTAACTGGAAGTTTCCGAAAATAAGGGACCCTAATATAATATCCTATAATAAAGGTAGGATCCTCATTATAAGGATCCCAAAATAGGATGCACCGAATTCTCGGAAACTCCCAAATCGTGAATCCGTGTCCTGTGGTGCTCGTGGCTTTCAGGAGTGCTCAGACTGCCTTGCAACTACTGTCTACCTAGAGGCTCATACCCTACCCCTTTTTTCGGAAACCTAGTTTTATGGTTAGGATCTGCTATCTTAAAACGTAGGCGCCCTAAAAAAAGGGGTAGGGTATGAGCCTCTAGGTAGACGAGCATCTGGAGTCGCCTTGAACCATAATTGAAACCAGCGTTGGGTTTGGGGTGAAGTGTTGGATTTCTTACGTTGTGGGGCGAGATGGTTTGAGGACAATCCACATGTGGCCGGCTGCAACACAAGAGACCCACTTAGTGACCCTACACCCTAGACGGACTAATACTTAAGAAAGCCCTCCGTATGCTCGAAGGAGGCAAGCTGCCAAAACCAAAATATTAAGGCTGAAACTGAGGTGTTGCAGTCTGTCATACCGCAAGTACACATGTGACCAGCTGTTACTAAAAACACGGCGTAGCATGACGAATCTATTCAACCCCAAACCCTTTACATCCCTAAATCCCCAACCCCTAACCTTAAAGGCCCTAAATACTATAGGGGCCTTAACAATTAGAATAAGGACCCCCCCAAAAAAGAAATAGTATTGGTAATTTTTGAGGCCCCTATAGTAGACCCTTAAACCCTCCCTAAACCCCTAAACCCCAAAACCCTAAATCCTAAACCCTAAACCTTTACATCCCTAAATCCCCAATCTCATCCTGCAGACAAGTCTCGACGAGCTGGCGGCCTCGAGGACACTCGTAAAGCGAGCAAGACCTCGAAGCTGCAAATGGCGAGTTTAGGGTTTAGGGGTTTAGGGTTTTAGGGTTTTGGGGTTTAGGGGTTTTGGGTTTAGGGGTTTAGTGTTTAGGGTGAACGGCTTCTTCCGACAGCCCTACCGGCGTTCTGGTTTTGTTCACCCCTCGCATAACTAGGGATCAAAGACAGGGCTATGGGCTTCAGGCTGGCTTTTTCCCCCTCCGCCTGGCTACGAGGAACCTACGATAGAGCTGAGGGTTAAGAGCTTATGGCGTAGAGGGCCAAGGTAGCTGTTCCAGAACTGGCTAGTCGCAGTGCGACCGCGCATGATCGCAAACAGCCAGCCGCCTTCTGACTTCTACGGTGGCCTCAATATTGAATCATATGGTGAGTCAAAATCATATTCGGGACTAGGTATTTAAACCACGATACTACAGAAACGGCCCCAACCAACGAAACTGGGGAGAGGACAGCTCGAGAGCTAGCTAATCGAGTGGCTTCTCTCTTTGCCCTCCCTGGTACTAAATCAGAGGTTGCCAGTTCCTTACAGCCGAAAATGCTACGTTGAGGCTTTTCGAGAGTTGGGTTCAGGATGGGCAGAGGAAGACTTTCGTAGAACCCTTTGCTGCACGGGGGGCCTGAAGATGCACCTCCAGTTTCGGCAAAAGAACGATCTGAGCCGTTAGGGCCTGTACTTGGAAGTTCATGGGTAGCTCTATAAATGAGTGGGATAATAAGTCCTGTAATATGGATGGTAACAATAATGGCTATCCTACTTGTAACCCTACTTCTTCCTAGCCATGAGCCTCCAAGCAGGTTCTACAAAGGCTTGGAGTGTAAGGCCGTGGCGTTATCCAAAGCCAATACAAGCCCTGAAAACCAGCCCCGAACCCGAGCCAGGAAGTCCCAGTCAAGCGAAGAACCATAAATCAGGGTTTAGACTGACATCCCCAAATGCCCAAAACCCTACACTTGAACTGCAACTACCCATTTCAGCAACCGGGAACAGCTGCGAAGCAGATTCCAAATCCAAAGCCCGCACTTGCAGTTTGGACTTTCATGTAAAGTTTGTATGTAGCAGTTCTTGAAAAAGGTTGCGGACCCCGGTGAAGCAATCAAACTGTAGACCATGGTAACTAGACCCCGAACCCATAGCAACAAAGAACAATTACTTTAAGACTCTTTATGAAGCGCGCCAGTGCGTGCCGAGATGCTTCACACAGCAGGTCGCGTCGCTGTTGCCTCCGATGCCACCCGTCGTGCTGTCGGCGTCTGCGCGCCTTGGACTAAGGCCGTCAGTGCACAATCATCATTCAAGTGCTGTGCACGGGATCATGCTACACCCCTTGAACTTGTCTGCTGCTCAGGGGGTGATCCGGCATTTTCGCCAGCAGAAAAACCAGAAACTGTGCACCTTCAAACTAACATGAGCCGGAAGCAAACCTTCCGTACTTCTTCTAGCTGTCAAGCAGCAGACACCCAAAACCCCAACACCTCCGGACTTCGACACCGAAGCTCCCCCTACAAACACTACTTTGTCTAGGTCCCTGCTTTAGGCCTGCAGGCTTTCACCTGCAAGCCCCGCATCCAAAAATCCTGGATAGCACAACCCTACAAACCCTGAGCCAAATGGTCCAAATCTCTAAAGCTGACATAAGGGACTGAATAATTAGAATACGGTTCTGGGGGGTATATTCAGGTAGATGTATCTTCTTGTAAAGAACCCTAAGGAACGAATTCATACTCAGGGGCGGCCCTTTATCATAATTACTCCCAGGTGCAGCTTTCTTTCTCAACTGCTCCCTTGTTTACACCGGAGGTTACCTGAGGACCGCAGCTATGAGAGACCTCCCAAAGCCAAGTGGCAGAACGAAGCCCGCCTGACCTTTGTTGCCAGATTGTTTGGGGGCCCGCTGAGGGCTTCAAATTTTGGTGGTCGGCATTTGGTTCAATGTTTTTGGGGGCTTGCTTTGCCAGCGTTTCAGTCGATGTTTGGTTCTTCTTTTGAGGGCTTGATTTGGCAGAGTTGGGTGTTTGATGGTGTTTGGAAGTTTGGAGCGGGCTGCCCGGCTTGTAGTCCATATGGTTTTCGACTTCACATTGAGGGCCTATAGGGCCTGGGGTGCTGGGGGGAGGTCGGAGTTCGGGTTCAGCTAAGCTTCTTCGGGTCTCGAGATATGCCGTTTAGTTCCGACAAGGCTTCACCTGCGCCTCACCCCTCAATTTCAACCCCAATCACTCAAGACCCTCAAGCCCCTACTCCTCCCCTAAGCGCTCAGACAAGCCACGGAAATAAAAGGTTACACTTTCCGATTCCTCCTAAACTATAGGAACCCGAAAAGTGTAGAGGTTAGGTATTGGGGATCTAAGTATACCTATAGTCTCCATTCTAGTTCCTTTTTTTGGTTTAACCAACTGTATAATTAGGATCCTATAAAGTAACCCCAAAAAGGAACTACAATGGAGACTATAGGTAAGGCCAGGTAGGGCTTCAGGGCTTCCCAGAGAGCCCAATACCCCTTAATTAAGGAATATACCTTAAATCATATTATGCGCCCTCTTATAATTTAAGGCATATTCCTTAATTAAGGGGTATTGGGCTCTCTGGGTTGCTCAAAGCAGGCGAGAGTGCCTTGGCCTCTGCTCCCGCTTCTCTCAGCTACGTGAAGCCTTGCGGCATGATTTACCTGCATTACCCCACCTGGACCCTAAGGAACCTACCTTTTTAAAGTTCCCTAATATGATTTCTTTATATAAGTCCTTTAAAATGTAGGTTACTTGGGGTTACGGTAGGGATCAAAATAGCCCCAAAAGCCTTATGTAGCGTGGTCTTTGGGCCCAAAAGTCCCAAAAGCCTTCATATATGAGTTTTGAGATCCCTAGGGTTAGAAGCCCAAAGGGTCCAAAGTACCAGTATAGTAGAATGTAGGGTTTCTGTATGAAGAGCTACTATGATGATTTGGGAAGTGTTCCCCACAACAGTACTTATAGGACCCTTTGGGAAGAAAGCCGATCCCTGAAAACAGAAACTTCCGCGAACTCAGGCTGGGCCCTGCGCTGCAAGTAAAGCCAGTGCAAGTCTTCACACAGCAGTCCCCATCCGTCTCACCTGCAACCAACGCAGCATCGCCTGCCGCAGGGATCATGGTCAGAACCCTAAACCCCACAACCTACTATAGGGGCCTTAATAATTAGAATAGGGTTTTGGGGCCCAATATACTATAAAACCATAATAAGCAACCCCCAGAATAGTGTAGGTCATCATTTCAATCATTGAGGCCCCTACAACCTATTCCATGCAACTGAGAGACAAACGGAAACTCGAGGTCTTCTGGGCCCTCTGAACTCAGCCTAGAAGCAAACAACCAAAAGCACCTTACTACCCCACAAGCCACGGAAATGGAAAGGTTAAGCCGTCCGTTTCCTACTAAACTATAAGACTGTAAGAACCCAAAGGTTTAAAGGTTGGTACCCTACCCTGAGGGTCCAGGCACTCATACAGTATATACTTTGGCCCTGAAGAGCCCATCTTGGAACTACTGTGAAGCCTAAGTATCTTACTATTTGGGTACATGGACCCTTATGGCTCGCGGCCAGCGGAAAGACAAAACACCTTGATTTACCTTGAAGTCGCAGCCCCGCGCAGGGGCCCTCCGTTTGGCAGCTTCGTTTCCATGCTGCAAGCACGAGCCAGCATAACTCCATTTTCTCTTGCAGGTTCTTATTCTGACCCCGCAATATGGAAATTTTCAAGGACCCATCAGGAAAGTAAGTTTCGGTAGCTTATAAGGTATGCTATGGCTCTCGCACGTTCTTGTAATGTACTATGTCGTCTTGGTTTATATGCAAGGAGGGCTGCATCGGAGGTTGGCTGGGTTCTCGTCAACGCCATTATAGTTTTCAGGTAACACGGTATGTGCATCTATATACTGTACTTTTTGCAGTGTATTGTATGGTATATAGTATTGTGATGCGATGACGTGTAATGTAGTGTAGGTATGCGTGGTGTAAGGACTGCGGTTTCTTCTTCTTCGGTACCTGATTACTAATCCATAATTAAACAGCCACCCTGTTCTGTTCTCATACGTCCTGCTCGAGCCTGACTGTTCTGTGGGACCACAGCTGAGTGTTACATCATCGCTCGTGGAAAGAGTTGTAAGTAAGCCTTGACCGACAGTATAGCGTTCCCTTGGACAACTCGGCACAGCCATCCCCGCTAAGCATGCCAGAAAGCGGCAAGGGCGGAGGGAGGAGGAGTAGGGTTCACCGGGAAGCTCGAAAGTTCGGATTCTGAAGGCCAGAGGGCTCGGTGGTTTTGGATTTCGCACGCTTTTTCCACCAGAAATCTGCAACCAGCGCGCGCCAGAGGTATCGGGGATGTACCAGATTCCCTCATGCTTCTGGATTTCCATGGACAGCGGAGGTGTCCTGTCGATGCGAACGGCCACAGCCCCCGAATGGTTGCAGCCGTCCCAAGACAAAGCGTGCCAGCGCAGGTAGAGGGCGCTCCACCGACGAAACGAGCGCTCGAGTTCCAAATCTTGAAGGGAGTCCCCGAAATCGATGCCCCAAATACTTGCCCGATGGTTTGCAGCCTTATCCCTGGTTACGATATATCGCCCCTCATCCCCGTTCTTCCCATAAAGGGATGCAAATATCCAAACGGCGTCATCCGGTTCGTCATCAGACACCACGAAGAGGGAGGTGCCAGACAACCAGCTTTGCACCAATGAGTTCAGAGGCTTCTTTGGCCCCTTATGTCCCTGTGCATCACCGGCAAAGATATATCGTTCCGGCATTACCAGCAAGGGAACCTCGCCCAGCTGGCGCAAATGCAGCATGGTGGCTTCGATCTGGTCGTGTCGGAAGTATGCCGCATGCAAGTTGCCTCGCTCTTTATGCTGAGTAATGGCCAAGATTCGGTGGACTTGTCTGGCATGTAAAACGAGAAACCACAAGAAAGGAACAGTCTTCAATTTCAGCTAACACCAAGTACTTAACCAGCCGAGGTTGCTAATCTCAACGTCTCCCTCCCTGGAGAAGTTTTTGCCTCCTGCACCTTCCCGACTACCTTCGGCCGCCTGACGTCGCTGCACGGCACCACGGTATCCTACCTTCGCTGCTCCCCCGCCCCCCACCAACGAAGTCATGCGAGAGCTTAGTGCCGATTACCTAAAGGCCGACCAAGCTTCATTCGGCCCATCCACGAAGCACGTCGGGCCTCCGCCGCCTCCATCCTGCAGCGATGCGCTCAATCGACGGCAGGTCTCCGGCTTGAGAAGCGCTGCAGCCCCCTCGCGGGCTATATCAACCTGGGCACTGAGCGCGCCAGAACCTACCATGTCTTTTCTTGCAGGGCCCTGGGGTAGACCCTAACGGCTTTGGTGGGTTGAGATATGTGAAGGCATTCCCTCTCAGACTATAGAACGGTCGAGGAGTTTCAGAACCCCTGTTGGGTAGGATCCTTGCCGCAGGGTGTACCAGAAGAAAACTATCAAGAGCCGCTCCTGGAAAAGCATCCGGCACCTGCTTGCGTATATATCTGCATTAGGGTTTGTAAAGTTTAGGCAGGAACGGAGTCTGGAGTAGGGCATCCCAAAGCCTCGACACAAATTGCAGCACAAGAAGCATGGCTTGCCTCCGGACAAAGCCGTCGCAGATGGCAGAGAGGGCGCATCACAACCTCGCAACGAAGACCTTTCAGCTCTTCGCATGAAAGCGCCTCCAAAGGAGCGGAAGACTGCTTATTTAGAGAAGAAGCGTTCTTATGAATCCTACTGTGGAGCCATGAATCATAGGGATCCTTAGGGGTGTAGGGGGAGGGGGGGTAGGGGGCCTTAAGGCCCATAATAAGGACTAATAAGGCCTATTTAAGGAAATATAGTCCCCTACACCCCTAAGGATCCCTATGAATGAAGCGATACTGGGCTCTCCGTGTCCAAGAACCGAGGCCCTTCAGCTTATCAGCTCCAAGCCTACCGACCTTATAAGGGAGACGAAATCCACAAAAGCCACACATACCTACCCAAAGGCTCCTGAGTGCCTGCCTCTATATATATATATATATGGAGCTATATATGTATGTGTGTGTATATATATATATATATTAAAGAAAATTAGGGTAAGGCGTTCGTCATACAGCCTCGGAGATCTTGTCCAGGCACGTGCTGGGCATCTCGAGTTCGGTCTTTGACAGTAAAATGAGCACCTGACTTTGCCGTCTAGGGTTTAGCTCTTATAGATCTTCCTCGTAGACTGACGGCTTTGGACCTGAAGGCAACTTCATATTCATCCAGACATACATATATATATATATATGTATCAACATATGTAGTGATAGATTGATCTACTTGTCTATTTACCCCTTTCCATCTATCTGTCAGTCTATCCATCCTTTGGTTCAAGATCTGATCTTCTTGGACACCGAGCTCCCAATGCGGGAGTTTCTGAAAATTCGGTGTACCTTATTTGGGGTCCTCATATCAAAGACCCTACTATTTAGGGTACTATATTAGGGTCCCCTACTGTCGGAAACTCCCACATCAGCCCCCGAAGCAGGACTGCCGACTGAGTGGAAGTCTATTTGAACAGCAAGGTCCTTCTTCAGATTGCCAGACTTAGGGTTCAGAAGAGTACCCTTTCAAGGGTCTCCCTAGTGCTACCTAGGACCGTGCGCATCTTTTGCGGCAAGAGGCTCCAAAAAGATCTGTGTACAAGCCCTCGACAACTGTCCTCAACCCAAACCCTAAACCTTATTGAATCCTACACATTCCCAAAAACCTAACTCCCTAGTTAAACCCCCTTTAAGAGTAGGGGTTTAAGTTTAAGCCCACCCTACCCAGAGAATACCCCTTAATTAAGGAAGTTAAATTAAATCATAAGGGGTGCATATTATGATTTAGGTTATATTCCTCAATTAAGGGGTATTGGGCTCTCTGGGTAAATCCCTGAACCCCTTCTTAGGCACCTCCTCCTGCAGCGCCGGCTTGTCAGCAAAGCCGCGGAGCAACGCCGCCACAGCGGCGCCGTTGAGGCGCGCTTGCCGGCGAGACACCACCGGCTGCAGCCTTTCCCAGAGAGCCCAATTCCCCTTAATTAAGGAATATACCTTAAATTATAAGGGGATTCATAGTATGATTTAAGCTATATTCCTTGATTAAGGGGTATTGGGCTCTCTGGTTTGGAGTGTCAGCTGTAGAGTGTAGGGTTGAGCTTGAGGTACAGTTCAGGAGGAAGGTTTGGGGTTCGAGATACAAGCACAGCAGCGTATCGACATAAATTTTACATCACGAATGAATTCATGTATGCATGCATTCTTTAGTAACATGAGGTTCGAGTCATTGAAACGAACAACTTTCAGGGTTCAGGGTTTGGGGTTTAGCAAACAACTTTCAGGGTTTAGGGTTTGGGGTTTAGGGTTTGTTTTGTTAAACGTCCCTTTTCCGACTCGCTGGGGGTTTAGGGTTTAGAGTTCCAGGGTTTGGGGGCTGCTCTGGCTCGTCTCCGTCAAGGCTCATCATCTTCGGGCGATTCCGGGTGATATTGAAACAGTCATAATTCCTCAAAGCCGCAACTCCGACCCCTTCTGATCCAACAGCCCCGCCAGTAACTACCACCATTGCCAAGCGCAGGGTCCTCTAAACAATCCGAACCACCCCCCGAGTAGGTACTCCAGGGGCATCTTCAACGGAAAATGTAGGGTCTCCGGCAATCTTGCTAGAAATAAAAAAAAATAAAAGGAACCCGCGCAGTGAACCCTTGAGACAATGGAGGGTCCTTGCGGCTCAAAAATCCAAGACCGAAGTGTGGCAATGAGTTATATTGCAGATTTGTTGATATCTATAGTCTCCATTGTAGTTCCTGTTTTTGGTTTAACCAATTTTATATTAAGGATCCTAAAAGGTAACCCCAAAAGGAACTACAATGGAGACTATAGGTACAACAGGGGGTGCAAGGGTTCACTAAACTGCGCAGCCAAGCAACAGACCTTCGTAAAACCTCTGAAGCCGATTCGAGGCCCCTTCTGCGGCCAATGCGCTCAAAAGCGGCTGCAGCGTCCGCATCTTCACCTGGAGCTCCTAGAATAGAAGCACTACACACACTGGGGTTGGGCGTAGGCTACATCCATGAACCCTGATAATTAACACGAGGATTTAATTAAACGGCTACAACAGCCCAAAAAACACCAGTTATAAGCCCTGTATACAGATCGACGCATCTGTCGATCGATCTATCTATCTGTCTGTCTCTCTATCTGTCTATTTGTCTATCGGTCTATCTGTCTACCTGTGCGTCTGTCTATCTATCTTCCTGCCTACCTATCCACCTCTTGGCGTCTCCCTATCTACCACCCATCCCCACTCACCTGCCCCTCCCACCGCCTCCTACCCACCACCCACCTACCTGCCTACATACGCATCTATCGGTCTATCTAACCATCTATCTAACTACCTACGTCTACCTACCTACGTACCTACGTATCCACATAGCTATCTGGCTGGCTGTCTGTCTATGCGAGCTTTTTCTCTATTTCGATCTCGGATCCTTCTCATCAGGACCCGTATCATAGATATCCCTGGTTTCACGGAACTCTCAAAGCTTGGCTGCACCAGGAAAGTATGTCATCAAGCATGGAGGAAGTCGGCAAGGAAAAGGGATTCGAAAGGGTTTAGGATTAGGGATCGAAAATCAAATTGGCAAAGAAATGTGCTCAGGTCATGAACGGCCGAGTCTTAACAGTTACGATTTGGGGATGTAGCTTTGCGGTGTGGTACGCTTTCCTTTTCTCAAGGCCAAGAGCTCGAACAACTTGCGCTGAACGTCTGGATCAAGTCACTTGGTGTATCGAAACGGCATGCTGCAGAATCGCTTGGGCAGCATCCCACTTCCCAACATCCACGAGCTCCGCAACAAGCATCGACAGGGTAGCCTCCCGAACTGCAGTTTAGGGCTTCGGGTTGCGAGGTGCTCGGCTATCATCGACTTATATGCTTCTCAGGAGTTTCAATCTACGCACCCGAACCCAAGGCTAGCTCACTCCCCACACCTACTCATGAGAAGTCTAAACCACAAAATGCTGCAGCCCCAAGAACCTGAACACCACGCACCCGAAACGCCCTATGAGCTCCAACAGCCGATCAACCAGAACCCCTATCTTGGGGCAAGCCGCCTCGCTGAAGGACTCCTCACTGCAGGACAGGATCTCATAGCACAGTAGCAAGACCTGGTCCTGAGCTGACACTGGTCCAGGGTTTAGGTTCCTACCTAGATATCGCTGTTTTGCTTGCTAGCTGTCGCTTTTGATTTCATTGAAATAACACACTTGAGAAGAGGCCCAGGCACTAACTTCGCAGACACAACTCCTCGCAGCAGACGTTGCAATGCCTGGTGGCGGTGTACAAGAGGGCTTTCTTGACTAGTTCACGGTACACCCAGGGCCGGGGTTCGGATTATTCAGGGTCAGAACTCCCTCCAAGTGCAAACTCCAGCCCCCCAAATCCATAAGTCTTACAGATCTCTTGTAGATCCCCTAAGGATCCCTTTAAAGGAACCCCTATAGCCCCTAGCCTGAACCCAGAACTGAGAGGCTCTCGGCCCACATCGCCTGCTCCAAAGCAGGAAGCGGCCAGCCAGATCGGAGCGCTCCGCGAAGCAAAGAAATTGCAGAGCCTGCGCTTACCCACAGGATCCATAGTAGTCTTACTACCCCAAAAAGCTACGGAATTACAAGGTTAAACTTTCCGATTCCTACTAGACCATAAGAGCCCGAGAAGTTTAAAGGTTAGGTATTGGGGATCTAAGTTACCCATAGGCTCCATAGTAGTTCCTTTTTGGGACTACCTCATAGGATTCCAAAATAAGAACCGCTAAAAGGAACTACTATGGAGCCTGCGCTTTCTTGTACGGAATTTACAAGGGGCTTGGTAGGCTTTACCGTATAGATGCTTTTCCTCACCTTTGGTTAGTAGGGAATGGAGGAATGGGGTACAACTATAACTACTATTACTACCATTCTTACATTCCCTACTAGCCAAAGGTAAGTCTTGTGGTCTGAAAAGGCTATGCTTTTGCAGGAGCTACGGGTCTTGCAGGGCTTTATGAGGAGGCTATGAGGTAGGGTTTATGTTAGGGCCTTGGCGGGTGTACATAAGACAGGGCGAGTTAAGAATGTTGGTGAAGGTCCAAAACCCGGGATGTCGGCAATCAGCCCCACTTCATGCAAGGAAGAAGCCAAATAAGACTTATGACTCTGGAGATAATACTTCAAAGCGCACAACCAGGTTTTTTCATGGTTGGACATCGAACCCTTAACCCCAAACTCTAAAAACCCGAAACTGCTAGACCCCACTGCATCTCAACACCCTACACAGAGCCCTAGTTCCCAAAATCCTGCACCGCAAACCCTAAAAGCCTACCTGAACCCTACAGACAGCCCGTAAACCCCTTATAAATCCTAAAACTTTAAAGCCAGACCCTATAGCCCCTCGATCCTAAAACCCTTTAAACTTAACCTGGGTCCTCGAGAACCTAGCTTCTCAAGGACTCCTGTAGGAAATCAGACTAACAGATGCTAGCTGGGTTTCACCCTAAAGCCCCTAACCCCTGAATCCAAACTACACCCGAGGGTGCACCCTAAGCCTCACCTGTAGATTCTCCCTCCAGAGTCTGCGCCACCTTCCTGGGAAAGTCCCGGTCTTCGCCGTCTTCGGATTCTATGGTTTGCTTGCTTTGGAAGGGTTTAAGGTTGCATCTCTCACTCTCGCAGGTGAAACTCCACACAAGTCTTATGGCACTGCTGAGCCATGCAAACAACAAGACGCTTATCAGAATCAATTATCCAACACCCTAAACCCTAAACTCTAAACCCTAAACCGTCCCACCCATCTATTTGTTCCCGGGGCCAGCTGGCTAAGAGACGTTGCTCCTAGCAATACGGCTCTGCTCGTCACTTCAGACAGCTTTTAGGTTTTTAGGGTTTAGGGCTTAAGATCAACCTGGAGTAGGAGGGGAGTGCCAAAAAATTAGCTCGAAGTTCATGGAAGGGCTTGCAAAAGGGTCCTACGATCAAGGTGTTTAAGGTTTTGGGGGTGTAAGAGAGGTGCTTTAATTAGAATGGGGTTTGGGGCCTGGGGCATGTCATGTATAGCGATGGTTTAACACACTGACACTAAGGACTAATTCAAGCCCAGGGCTGGAACATGAAGCTGATCAGCTCTGCAGTCCGAAGATCATTTCGAGCTGCAAAGTTGACTCTGTCATGCTTTCGGTGTTCCGTGTCTGTATGCATATGTACCTATATATACATATGTGTGTGTGGTATAGAAGTGATTCTGCAAATTCCGTCTGCTATGTTCAGAACTCAAAATGTTTCTCAAGGGCATCTAAAGGCTCCGCTGGAGCTCGGCTTGCTGTCTTCTCAGCTCCTTCCTTGACCATTTCGGCCTCTTTGCAGCCATCTGCAGCTGCTCGTCCTGGGGCGAATCTACTGTCATGACGTCTGGAGCCTTCGCATGTATGTATGTGTTTCTACGTGTCTTTACGCTTGATGTGACGAATTGGACTGAGATTCATAATGTCGGGGGCGATGTAATCGCAAGTAGTATGCAAGTTCTCAAGATGCTCAGCCATGTTTTTCCAACATGCTGGAAGATTATGAAATATGCCGATCGTGCTGGACAGCCTCGACTGCCAGATCACAGCTTTGCCCGGTTTGACTAGAAGACAGAACCAACCTACACAAAGGATCGGCATAGTAGGCGGGGACATGATGACAATAACATTAACTGTCACTCTGCTTGTATAAATATACATTAAACATACACATACACGCATACACATACATACACATATATACATATAACGGACTTGCAAGCATAGTCTCGATCGCCAGATGCATGCGGGCCATCCCCCAGCCCTTTACAAGAAAAAGCTGGTGACGTATGGGCCGAAACGCAAAGTCAAGCAACTTAAAATTTAGGGGCTTGAGGTTTAATTAGAGTTCATGGTATAACCTGAAGCCTTCAAGCTCCAAAGCCCAAAATGTTCGAACCGGGCGTTGTGCCGCAGCCAGTGTTCCAAGCGGCTCAGCGGAAGCTCGTTTTTGCTGGCAGGTGCAGCACTTGCCCAGGGTCGCAAGAGCAGAAACGTCGTCCAGTCGAGGTGGCTATTGTTAAAAAAAAGCCACCTCGGCTCTAAGCCCTGCTTAGGGCTTTGCAGAGCCCTGAAGTCGTTTTGCTTGGGAAGCGTGGGACTTCGTGCATCTCGGAGGATTTTGGTGATGTGTTCTTGGTATGCTGATTAATTTTAGCCTCTATGAATTGATGTGTTTTTTGTGAAGTTCGGAGAATCGACGAAGGCTCCCTTGTCTTGCAGCTGCTCATAAGGATCAGCACCAAGCCTATCCAAATGATAAGCTTTAATAAAGGTGCGAAAAGCTTGCAAAAGACTATTGAGTCCGGGCTTGTGAAGCACAAGCTGAGCCGCCAAGAAGGCTTTAGAGGCTCCGGCAGCACTAGTTCGCCCGAGCTTGTTATTAGTTCTCCTGAGCTGGGCTTTGCCCTGGCTGAAATCTACATGGATGCTCTGCGGGAATGGATGGAGTCTGATCTGGACGTGGATGGGGTCTGACCTGGACGTTACCATGGTTGGCACATGGATGCTCTGCGGGAATGGATGGAGTCTGATCTGGACTTTGTCATGGCTGGCACATGGATGCACTGGGGGAATGGATGGAATCTGATCTGGACGTTATCATGGTTGGCACATGGATGCTCTGCAGGAATGGATGGAGTCTGATCTGGGAATGGATGGAGTCTGATCTGGACGTTATCATAGTTTTATGACGTTCGAGCAATGGAAAGGCTCGCCCATCTTGAAATAATTAAAATACGAAACAGATATGCTACAAATACGACACAAATACGAATTGAAAATACAATGCCCCAAACTAACAAGTTTTGAATACGTTTCCAATTGAAAAGAAATAGGAAATGAATACACAAAAAAAACGAAAAGAATGGGAACACAAATAGGGGAAAAATAGGAAAAAAATAGGAAAAACATAGGACGCAGAACCCCTTCTAACAAAAAAATACGATTTACCTTGGAAAAATAGGGGGAAAATACAACATGAATATGAAATACATAGGAAAACTCTGATTCACGTACGATAAAAGTAAGAATATACCTGGAAAAATACAACAAAATAGGAAATAGTCAGGAAATCCATGGGGCCCCAAATCACAGCAAGCCATAAGTTATATAAGCCATAAGCCATAAGCAAAATGCAAGTACGATTGAAAAAGCGTAGAAAATTTTGGGAAGATAAGGAAACTAATTGGAAACATAGGAGTCCAAAGTCATGGCAAGCCATAAAGGACATTGAGAATGCCGTTGACAATAGCAAAGCAGAGGAAAAGTACGTGAAACAGAGGAGAAGTTAGCAAAAACAGGGGTCCAGAATCACAGCAAGCGATAGTGAGAATACTATTGGCGATCTAAACATCAGAAGAAATACCAGGGACAACACAGGAACACCTTTGAAATATAGGATTCAACTACGAGAATTGGGAGAACATGATGAAGAAACACTAGGAGCCAAATGGAAATATTGTATTCAGTCAACAAACGCAGACCATAGAAATGTGGGGCACATCCTCTCCTCCCCTCCTCTCCTCCCCTATCATCTGCCCTCCTCTCGCCCCTCCCTCCCTTCCCATCCCTTCGTTCTTTTCCCCGCTCTTTCTCGCCTCCCCTCGCCTTCTTCCCCTGTCAAAATGGCATAACAACCGCAATGCAGATGTGCAACATGCTGGTGTTTGGGCCATGTCGCAACACGAAAGAGCAACTTGTGGTATCTTCGAGATTCGAGACCCGACTATCCCTCCTCGTGTTTGCCTGCTTGGGCTCGGGCTTGGGGCTTGAGGTTTGCTGATGTCAACTCCTTTGTTTGGATTGTTTGGAATCCAAATCCGGTTCGTCAGAAGTCGGCGTCCAGTCTGTCAACGCTTGGCGATCGTTTGGGGCTCGAAAGCAAGGGCGAGAGCCCAACTTGGATACACGAACAAGGCTTTCAACATTTATTGGTTTCAATTCATGCTGTTCGAGCTGCTATGTTTGACCACATCAGTGAGATTTTAGCATGGTATTGATTTTGGCATGTGATTTGCTGAGGAATATGGCATATGCTGCACAGGCCCAACAGCGACAATGTTGCTCTTTATCGGGCTACCACATGCATGCGCTACGCACTGTGCACGCATGCACTAGCATGCGTGTTTTTGCTGCAAACCGGGCAGACCGTCACTTTTGAATACTGGCTACTGGCAACTGAGTCTTATGTCGTAAGTCCGAATCCTAGGTCCTAGGAGGCTTAGGAAACACACATAGACATGTTTGACGGCGCCATGGCTGTTCCGTCGTGCATGCAGAAGTGGCAAGCTGCTGCGCAGGATGAAATCATTCTTTCGCAAAAGAGCTCTGAAGAAATTCTCGAGGCTGATGCCATGAAGGAGGACTCAGCCTCCCGAGTCCCATCTGAGCCGGATGAGACGGAGCAGGACAAAGAAAATAGAGTTGTGCAAATTGCAAACATTGCCAATGGTGCTGTCATCGATGTGGAATGCACGTTTCCTCGCCAAGATGGTTGGTGGGTGATGGATGTAAAGATGGCGACCAATACGCAAGATGTGAATCTGGCACGGAAGAAACCTCTGAAGCTGCTGTCGGCCTGTTCCGGCATGCTCTCAGAGGCCAAAGTTCTGGAGGCCGGGTTTGCAAAGGTCTAATTTTGCAATGCGAACCTTGATAGACTAAGCCTACTAAGCCTAAGATTGTGGTTTTGAAGACGTGTCTGCAATGGGCTACAAAAGAAAAGCTGGGAAGCTTATTTCAGGATTCATTTGGATTTCGTAGTATAGTTCATAGCTTCAAAATTCAAATCTTGAGGCTGAAACTTGTAGAGACGGTACCCAGGCTCCAAGCCGCAAGCCCAAACCCTGCGTCGAGTCTACGATTCGAGATCAGAATTCCCGGACATGCAGAATCTCAAAGTCTTAAAAACCTTGAGGCCCTTTGTTAGCTTTTGTTTCCCCCCATAGCAAATTCCTGCTTTGTCAGATGCTTCGCATTCCGTACGAATGCATCGGCGCGTGTGATCCAGATGCTGACTGCCAGACCTTTATCAAGGCTAACTTTGCTCCATTGCATCTGCACAGGGACATGACGCAGCAGGCAAATTCTTCAGCTTGCTTGATTCACAGCGATGCGGAGGCCTGTTTGTCACGTCGTTTTGCAAGCATTGACTTCTTCCACCTTGGGACGCCGTGCCCCCCTTTCTCGAAGCACAGGGCAAAGAGATTTGCGGACGGTTCGGTGGCTGGCCACAAAGATGTGAGCACGACAAATCAGGTTGTGGAATGGCTTCAGGCTTTCGAGCCGCAGGCTGGCTGTCTGGAGCAAGTGGCAGGCTTCGGTATGCCACAGTCGGAGGAGGACGCAGCATCTCCATTGGAGAGGCCGGTTGGAGCTACTGTATCTGTTGAGCTTGGTTCAGATTCTGGGTTCAAGTGCAGACTCAGGGAGCTCACAGCTTTTGCCATCTTGGTTAAGCCCTTGGTATCAAGGAAGCACAGCTCTGAACGGAACCAGAAGATTGCTAGGTATCCTATGTTTGCCAGGAGGAATTGGCAAGCAAATTCATGTGCAGGGTTTATCGGCTTTCTAAACTGGGCCTCAGATACATCGGTCCTTTGTAATGGTCTGAGCATCGGCAGCCGTTCACAATCCCTGCTTTCAGATCATACAATCTTGCAAGGAAAGGCTTTCTGCATGGGGAGCGCATACATCATTTCTGATTCATGCAGTGGACCTAGACCTAGAACACCTAGAATCCTAGAATCCTGGAACACAAAAGCTCGCATTTCCAAAAGACAAGCTGGGAAGCTGTTGCTCGAAGCCGAAGTGATCCCGAACGCTGCTTCATTTTTTTGAAGCTGCTTGAGTCGTTGTCTCGTTGTGACATCATATATATATACACATATATACATATATATATATATATATTATCATTCGAGCAAAACGAACGACCACTGTCTGTCTGTGTTGTGCTTTACGGGCTTCGCCCATAACGCAGGGAAGTGCTGCCCTCCTCGCGCACAGTAGGCAAGAACAAAATAGAGACTAGGGCCATAGGGCTCAGAATGCTTTTCCAATCGTAAGATGTAGAGTCTAGAGTATAGAGTCCGAGAAATCAATCAGTAGTTTCCAAAACTCCGTGGCCGATGGTGACATTGCAGCGGACCCGGCTGGAGCCCCAAGCAAGATGAAGGGTTGAGGTCTTCAGGGTTGCATTTTGAGCTTGGACCGGCTTGAGATTGTGGGGTTTTGATTGATGGGTCGGTTGCTGCTGCCCGGTGATGATTTGCACAGATGCTAGAGCTGCAAGCCCCAAGCCCTAACTAAACCCCAAAATGTCACGAGTCGAATGCCCTGTCATTCCGTACAAGGTGCTTGTTTTTAGCACGGACTCAAGTCTTTTCTGATGCCTGTCGAGGTTGTGAACCACTCTGGCAGCTTCTCCATACGGCGGCAATTACACTGCCCCCTGCAAGGTGGACATGGGTTCTGACAAGAAGTGTAATTGTAGTTAGGACTAGGACCGACTTAGGACTTAGGAGTTAGGAAGTGGTATCTTTTCCATGCCGTTTGCCTGATGCTCGGTGTCCGGGGCGACCACATTGTCAGGGCATAGAGTTTGTATTGCAGTTAGCGCCTGTGCCAGGACCAGGATTTTCGATTGTGACGATGGATGGTCCCTGGCTCGGGCGGTCTTGCTGTGGCGACACATCTTATGCCTTTGGTGATTTATGCGTGCGTGTGAGCGGGAGTTTTGGTGCAGCAACCGATCAGTCAATCAGGAGAAGCTTGCATGGAGTGTGTTCGGGCTTGGGGATTGGGTTCAAAGCTAGTGTGCCCGGGGTTGAGATTCGGGACTCGGGGTTTGGTTGATCCTTCTCCAATCCTGAACCCTGGCCGCAAACTCCTTTTCCGAGGTCCGGCGCTCCGATGGAATTCGTCTGGGACTCTGGCTGACATTGATGCCGCTGCCTCATTTTAGACAGAGTCTGGTGCCTTTGGGGTTTCGGGTTCGTGACGGTTGTGCCGGTTGTGTACGTCGTTGATCAGCTACTTAGACTCTTTAGACTCTAGACTTTAGACTTGGTTGACTTATGTAGCTACTTCTTGGTTGCTAGTTACTAGTTACTAAAATTCTTTGTAAGTTCATTCAGTGGCGACTTGCAAGACTTATATTATCTCATTGTATCATTATAGCTTGCAATACTTATCAATACTTACACATATTTTCCCCTGGGGTCCCTTAACAGCCTTAACCCTTTGCTTTTGGTTGCCTGCGCAGTGCGTTTGTGTCTTCTAGGAGGGTTGGGGGTTTTAGTCAAGCTTCGACTTTTGCTATTCTAATACCGACAGGGGGTTGTTTTCGGTGCAGGTTCCAGTGTTTTCAAAGGCCTGTCCAACCCCGAATCCCCATAAGCCCAGGGCCATCGACACATGTGCGCTGCCGCTCCTATTGGTCCTGGCCATGGCCTCAGCGTCTTTTTTCGTGCTGCTGGAGTTGCTGGAGTATGCAGGGCGCTTGGAGTAGAGCATACAGTTACTGTGAGCGGCAGCGAAAGTGGTTGCGACAGGTGGAACAACATCATACTTTGACAGTGGCCGGGGGCTCATGCTGTCTAGTCATGCTGTTGCGAGACCGTTTTGCCTTTGCGGATTTGGCCTTCTGCGCGTTGTGCACATTGTTGACCAACTTTGACCAACGTCAAGGAAACATTGTCAGTAACTCGGTAACTATGCACCATTCAATTCTATTCATTCTATCCGTTCTGTTCGATTGTGTTGAGAATCCGGACCGAGGATTTCAGTAGCAGTAGCACGTGAGTGTAGGTTGCCGGGTACCACTTCTGTGCCGCATATAAGGTGTAAGAGCAAATGAGCAAATGGGTGCATCGGCGATGCGATTGTCCTAGGCCAGTGAACCGCCTCTGTCGAACCCCATCCGCAGCCCAGGCCTCAAAGAAGTTTCAGATGCGACTTCGGTAGGAGTGAGGAGAAGGTCATGCCGAGCAGAATCAATGCAGAAGAGACCTATCCTGTCTGAGGACATTGTGACAGGACCAAACGAGCCCGAGCATACTTTGAAGTCAAACTCATCAGCAGCTTGTAAGGTGTCGTCTGTGATCGAGCTAGATTCAGATTGTCCAATGTTTCGGGTGTTAGACGCGTTCGTAGCCTAGGGCCTAGAGTCTAGAGTGCAGGGTTGCGCTTCACATGGTCTCTGCCAAGACGGCTGCCAAGACAGTTCTGCTTCGGCAAAATACGAAGTTTGGAAAGCAACAGCCACGTATGCACGACAATGTAACCTTGGGCCCCCAACCCAGACCTGCAAGGGCCCCTGCATATCCCGTCGATTTGTCACCCAATAGCAAGATTCTGACAGCAGGAGCCAGGGCCATCACGCAGAGTTTGACGTTGGCCTGTAAGAGTTGACCACATATCTTCCATTCGACCAGTCTGGAGTCCTTCTCTTTGCCCTTCTCCCTGATGTTACGGTTTCCTAGCTGCTAGCTGATGAGCGGGACGCAGCCGAGGTGTGGCAACTCCTGGCGGTCCTGGCGAAACGCGTGTTCGAAGAAAAGAACGTGCGTACGATTCGATTGCAGTTGGCCGTTGGCCCTTCAGTAGATTGGCATTGAAGAGGCAGGCAGGTATATGTAAGGGCACGGAAGAAGCAGCCCTGCATGGTGGAGGGGGATTGCTGACTTTTTCCAGGTGTCTAGTGGAGGTCGTCACAGGATGTCACAGGGAGAGAGAGCGAGACGAGACACACGCACACACACACACACATATATATATATACATATGTATGATAGAGAGCTAGCGTGAGAGCTACAGAGAGGCGAGTCGGCAGAGCGAATATGAAGCCAGGAGTGACATCACAACTGCCTTGACTGTCCAGTTGTGGTGTGTGTGTGTGTGTGTGTGTGTTTTAATAGCCTCCAGATTGTGCTGCTTCGCATCCGTCTTTACGTAAAACTGACAGCCCGAAGCTATCCCTGCGTGTCGTCTCAGCAGCCATTTGTGTCCAATGCAGGTTTATGCGGGCAGTGGATGCTGCAGAGTGGCAGCTTGGTGGCTACCACATCTTTGTGCACAACATGGATCTCAACACGTGGGTCCGCTTGAGCCGACCAAGGACAGTTTGCCAGTGCAGCTTTAAAGGTTGTGTGGGTTGGCGGGGTGTTGATTTGTTTGCTGCACCTTTCGGATTTACCCTTGATGATTTTCCTAATTCCCTCCACTGCCCATCCTGAGAAATTCCATGGTACTTGAATTCTTTGTTTCCTGGATTCCTGGAAAGAGAGTTGGCTATAAGTTTTGTCAATCCCCGCATGTTCCCAGAGCCTGCGTGCTGCCGTGCCAGGCCCCAGCCTGTAGCAGTGCCAGATGAGCTCGATGCACAACAGAAGTTAAGAAAAAGCAATGCATCAGTCAGTAGTCAGTTGGTCCCTCAGTTGGTATGATGTAAACACAGACATACATAGCCTGCAACGTGCAGTCTTTCGTGGACTGCCCATGTTGACTCGTGACCACTGAGACTAATGACGATTAAGCATTCATTCATTTCCCACTGGCGATTTTTTTGTGCATGGTATGATTGAGACACATGTGGATGCATCCTTTGCTTGTCCTATTGAGTGCGGCCAGTGACGGCCACTGAGCACTGAATGGCTACATGGTTTTCAGGCAGCCTCGAGACTCTTGAGCTTTCCCATGCGAGTGCTACAGATGCCGACAATCAGAATGACTCCGCTTCAGCTGCTGAAGTGGTGCCGGTCGCAAATTCGAACCCCAAGTCACGGAGAGGGAGGCCACCGGGATCTCGCTCCATGCGTGCTGTTCTTGAGGAGAATCCGGGCATGCGTTTTCCCAGGCCTGACATGCGCAATTTGCAGATGGCAGATCAACAGGCAGAGCCTTTTTCCCTTCCATTGGCTGTGGTGCCTAGGCCCAGGCCTGCGGCTGAGACAAACTTTCGAGGGCCAAGTCACCCAGCTGATGCTGCAAATGTGGCGTTGGCAGATGAGCCTTTTTCCCTGCCCTTGGTTGGGGTGTCTAGGGCCAGAAAAGACAGAGCTGCGACAGGTCTCAGCCGTGTGCAGAGTTCAGCACCAAGTGAAGGATGCCCCACAGTCACAACTCTGCTAAATCAAGCAGGTGCGCCATTGCTTCAGAAAGTGTTGGCATTTTTGGCTGCATCACATGTTGTTGAGAAGCAAAGCACTGGTGGTCTTGCAGGGGCCATTGCTCAAGCGCTGGAAGAGGACAGCTGCACTGCTGCGGTCAAGTTCGAAGAAGCCGCCGACAACACTGACAAGGCAAGTCTGCTCTTAGTGTTGCAGCAGTCGTTTCGTGATCCAGTATGCCATCTCAAGAGTCTCTCGGCATTAGCCGCTGACCTGAATCTTGCGCGGTCGACGCTTTCACGGAACAAACAGGCAGTGGCATGTGGGATCAGCATGGCCATCAGTGTTTCATGGGGGTGCTGTTTGTCTCGTGTGAGACATGCAATCGACAGCAAGGTGTTGAAGAGACATTTGCTCGTGAAGAAGCGAGTCTTCGACGAGACACCGTTTCGGATGCGTGTCAAGAAGTGGCAGCCGCAGCAGCAACAGCAGCAGCAGCAGCAGCAGCCAAAAAGTGTTGTGGCAAAAACACTGCAAACACGCTTCTCACTTGGCATGTTGCTGGAGCACGTCCCGACAAAGTCGATGATATTCCTACACGGCTTGGTAGTCACCCCTCTCCAGGTGGTAGAGCGAACGAAAGCTGAAGATCTTTTCCGGGCACAGACAGCAGTGGAGAGATTGGTGCCGGGTTTAGACAAGGCGGCCAAGGATTTTGAGACAACCGTGCAGTTGGTGACCACAGATCGCTATTCAGCGAACAACGTCTGTGAACAAGCCATGACCTTCGCGAGTGAGGGGCAGGCGCGGATGCACTTTTGGTGCGATGTGCACCGCCTCAGCACTTGCAAAACATGGCAGCTGGCCACAGTCGATTCTCATATCAGTGCCATGATCAGCCTGTCGTTGTTGATGAGAGAATGTGGAGCTTTGGAGAAGCTTCATGGCTGCATGAAGGAAGTTGTCCAACAGCGGCTGACTGTTGATTATGGCACTCCTCCAGCTGGCCAAGTACAGGAGCACCGAGAAGCAGTGTTGAACTTGCTGTTGGGGCCGGGCTCAAACCTCACCAAGAAGCTTGGATTCATATCAGTGCCAGAAATGCTTTTGTACTTTCTTCCTGTTTTGACTATAGGCTAGCAGCGGCTAGCAGCTATGATTTACTTTCTTGTTATTTTCCATTTTTCGATTGAGTAGTCTTATGTTCACAACACCAGCAAATCAGCTCTCCTTCCTCGTTTAACTAAACTAACAGAGACCAAGGCAGGAGGACTCCCTGACTGTTAAAAGAGCGCGGCAACGGGCCGTATTGACTTTGCTCTGCAATGGGGATTGGGAGTCTGAGAAGATCGTGTATTACAGCCCTCAGCCTGTGGAGAAGACTGAGGTCCTCAGGCTTTATGAAAGGATGGTGATACCGTCCTTGCTCCCTGCTGCAATCAGCCTGTTCCCAAGGCATCGCTGGCATGGGGGAGAGGTAAGCATCGATGAGACAGCTCTCCTGTTTGCAGTTCACAATATAGGAGGCCAAGCTTTGCAGTTGTTTCTCGGTGGTAGGTCCTCACCTGCAGCAGGATTTCAAGCCGGGCAAAGCGATGAGGACGACGGTCGTGGCGTTGGCGAGATTCCTCTGGACCCAGAGGTTCCTGAGCCTTCCACGGAGGACAAAGACCCTGGAGAGCTGCCTGTCGTAGAGGACTGCTTGCCAGAAGGTGCACCTGCAGATTCCGTGCAAGGCCAAGGCCAGGGTCCAGGCCCACAAGATGCAGCTGCACAGGCTACAGTTGCATCTGGGGAGGCAATGCCGAATTGGAAAGAATTGAAACTGTCGATGAAGCGTATGGTGCTGGCATGGATCAAAACCAAGCCTGGCGCAGTCTTGATTCTCACACGTGCCACCATGCAAGCGGGTGTCCAGCTTATGAGGAAAATGCTGCATTTGGCCAGTTTGGCATGGGAAAAGACGCAACAGCTGGAAGCCAGTCGGGGCAGGCCACGAAGCTACCGAGTCCTCGAAGCATGGCACAATGAGGATGTGAAGTCAGCGTTTCAGAGCTTGCGAGATTGCTTTCATAGCCCACTCCCGGCTTTGCCATTGACAGCTCGCATAAATTCAGTCAAGGTCCTTGGGTTCCGTTTACTCGCACGTCTCGCTGGAGCCCTTCACCTGCTGCTAAGAGTTACTCGTGCTGGATTCCCCCACAGGTTGTTCAGTTTGCTGCAGCCCGGTACATCGCAAGAACGGCTGGATCTTGCCGAAAAGCTGTTATCGTCTCCTGCTTGCCTTTGGGATCATGCAACGAAACAAATCTTGGAGAAATTCCCATCGCCTGAGAAGCTGACAAGCGCAGCTGCCACTGCAACCTTGCAGGCCCTCGCATTGATGGCCGAAAATGACGTGGTGTCCATCGAGACAAGGCACGCTGCAGCGAGGAGACTATTGATGGCAAGGCAACAAACGTGGAGCCCAGCCTTCTGTGACCTAGCAGCGGAGCATCTTTGCAGGCAAGCCAGGGCAGAAATGCAGGACGTGTTTCCCAGGGCATTCGCCAAACGACATCAGACAACGTCTAGAAAGAGGCGGAAGTTGCCCAAGAAAAGAAAACCTGCACGAAGAAGCAAGTTTGGCCGCTTGCATTTGGACAGGGTGGAGAAGCGAGGTGGAGGTGCCCAGAGAGCTTTTTTCCATGAGAAGCTTCAGCTGGCAACCAAGGATGATTGGAAATCCAGGGGCCGTCTCTTTAGTAGACTCGGTGCCGAGTTCAAAGCTCTCACACCTGCGCAGCTGAAGCATTACAAGGACTTGGGACAGATGGGCACACTGGCGGCCCGGCATGGTGGACGTCCCTTTGCGCCCCCAGGTAGAGACAGCCGCGCTGCAACAGAGCAGAGACTGGTTGCAGCCAGCGAGTTCGAGCAAATGGCTCTCACAACAGTTCACGCTGCTGAACACAAGGCCATGGCAGCGCAAAGGTTGCATCTTTCGATTTCTCGGGCCGATGCAGTTGAACTTGAGCAGTACAAGTGTGAGCATGCTCTCCAAAGTCATGGACTGGTGGATACTTTGCCTGCCTCATATCCGCCAGTGCAGCCAGAGCCTGGCAGTCTGCCTGCTGGGTACTTCTTTCCGGATGCTGTGGGCCTTTCCGAGGCTCTGTCTGATTTCTTGTGAAGTCTCGTGTGGCTTATATGACAAAGGTTCTAGTGTTCCATGCTAAGCTGCTATACTGCTACAATCGAAAGTCTAGTGTCTAGAGAACCTGAGGCTTTCGCAATAGAGTTCTAGAGAACCCTTCAGTCCCCTTCAAAGCCCCCTGTCTGCTCTGCAGGCTGCGCTTGAGAAGGATGTTGCTGCTTGGGGCGGCCGCCGGTACCATTTGAATGAAATGCTTCTGAAGGAATGGACTTCTTTGACAGACATGCCAGCCGAGGCTGCTTTTCCTCAGAACTTCAAGTCTGAAGCCGCTGGTACAGTTTGCCAAAAGTTCGGAAGGTGTGTTTGCACAAACAGGGAGGGTGCGGAGCAGGCGGAGGATTCGTTACACTTGCACCAGAAGTTTGTTCGCTTATTCAGGCCGTACATCACTTTGAAGAAGCTGCCAAAACGTGAGTCTGATGCACAGCCCCAGCCAAGCCCCAGCAAACAGAGCCGAAAGCCGCCGGCACGCGTTTTGCTTGACAAGTCTTTCTTGATTTTGCGTTTTGTCCTGCCAGCCGAAGTGCAGCGGCATCTGGATGAACCCCAAAAGCCGGGAATGCATTATGCCTGGAAAGCAGCCTTGGCCAACATCACCTCAACCACCAGATCCAAGCTGGAGCTTACAGAAGTCTGGCTTCATGTTTGTTATTGCAATTTGCAGACGATGATGTTCGTTTTGCTGCGACTGGACAGGGATGATACTGTGACACACGACAGCTTGGGCAATCCTGTCACGAGGCTGAGGGTTCCTTCTGAGCCAGAGGTCACGACCACTGTGGAGGCTTTTCAGAGCTGGTTGCGATTGGAACTGGCCTGGAATGTGTCGTTCTGGGGTATCGACTCTTCCACAAAACCGATTGAGGATGAGCTTGTCACCCCCAACACAGTGGATGTTCGGTTGTTACCAGATGAACAGATTCCTATGCTGCAGGTGTGGTTGGGAAGCAGTACAGAGGCCAGGCTGCGTGATGAGGCCGACCGGAGAGCAAAGAAGAGAACAACAGCTGGTGGTAGCAGGGGCCAGTCATCCGCCGGTGGACACCAGTCAGCCAAGCGTCGCAAACTCCAGCCTGGCATGGAACCTGAAGCCCTTGAGGAGCCTTTGCCAGAGGACGCGCAGGATGATCCTCTTCAGAGACAAGATTGGAATGAGGAGACATTTGAAGAAGTATTGCTGGAGGAACAAGATATCGATGCCAAGCAGTCTTTCCTGAGACATTATGTGAATGTTTTGGAGGCCAAGCAAGCTCGGGCGGATGTAGCGCAGAAAGCCAAGCAACTGGCTTCAGGAAGTTCGGGCCTGCTGCGGGACGAGGTGTCCCAATGGGTTGAGCCTTCTTCATCTTCGTCTGCAAGGCCTCCGAAACCAGATGCTGCCCGTCCAGGGCTCGAGGTACCCGCAGCTCCTGAGGCTGAGCCTCCAGATCCGCCGGTCGAAGCTGCAAGACGAGAGGCTCGAGCAACACGCAAAAAAAAAGAAGTGAAAGAGGAGGTAATCTGGATCGTTCATGGTGGTGTATGCTATGGGAGTTTGCGGTTCAACCCGAAGGGCAAACACATCACTGCACACTGCGACACCGAGGGCCATTGTGAGGAGCAGAGCTGTCGCAAATAAAGGACTGTTGCACCATCAGAGCGTGCGCGGCAGAGTCAAGGCAAGTCTGGGAGGCCTGTTGGCTATTTGACGCATTGGCTCATGCAAGGTCCAAGATGCTCAGATTCTTCAGAGCACATCCATGGTTGTGCTGAGCCTACTCTGGCGGAACGACAGAGAGCGAGGCAAATTTTTAATGCTGTCGAGGGAGCCCAAGATTTCAGTGCGAAAGCAGAATTTCCTTTGAGCCCTGGTGACCCAGAAGAGCCAGTCATCACAAGCTGATAGAGTCCTACCTTGCTCCAACTTCGTGACAAGCAAGACTTGCAGGCCAATGGCGTGTTTGTCAGAAGCTTAGGGAGATGTCGGGGTCAGAATCATAGTCATAGTCATGCCCTGGTTATAGCATTCTAGCCGCTGTTCTCACAGTCGAGCATGCTGCAAGCCTGAAGACTTTGCTTCAGATTTCCGTCATGAAGAGGCCGGATCAAAAATTGCTGTCGTGCGTGGAATGGAACATCTGGTCGCTTCGCAAGGAAGGCTTAGTCCAGCATGTCAGTGTGGTGCATGTCTCATTGTGGTGGTGTGCACGCAGGATCTTCATATGCTTCCTCCGACGGGACATGTTCACCGTGGAGCAGGGCCGTGAATGGCAACGCTTACTTCAGGACGCCAGTGCTCGATCTTGCGTTGGTTGCTGAGCTTAATGCCCGGGCTCGGTCTAGAGTCCAATGTGTATGTGTCTCGTTAGATGTACATGAGCAAGTGCTTTGGTTGCTCTATGAAGTTTGGCATTTTCAGGTTCCACGCGGATGCAAGTTGTACTGCCTGTGTGTGTGTGTGTGTTTGTGTGTGCGTGTGTGTGTCTTTCTGTGGTTACTCTAGTCACTGTCGTCGCTAGCGACATGAAGGACTTTTCGAAAATTCTCCATATCGGTCATCGATACCGGATAAAGCTTTCACTGTTGAGATTCATCAGGCTTCGTTTCAGGCAGCATGTAGCACACTCTGTGTGTCTGTACATGCTTGTGATTGTGACTTGTATGTGTGTCTACATTATAGTCTACATGGGTTTCAGGTTCAGCCACATCAATGCTGCAGGCTGAGGCTTTGTTTCAGGATTTGTTACTTATTGCAATGTGCGCTTAAGTCGCCTTATCTGTTTGTAATTGGTCTGAGGTCCCTTGTTATACAGATAGGTTCTAAAAGAGGGCCAAGTTCAGAAGTTTTGCTAGGTCGTGCGAGTTTAGACTTGACAGAGAGTCGGGCAGTGTTGAGTTTGTTCTGATTTCCATTGCTTGTTCAGGCTGACGGGCTGCTGTGGGGCTAAGCAGTCACTAGCAGCAGCAAGCCGGGGGTGCCGAAGTACGACGAAGTACATCACTAAAACAAAAGTTCGTAGGCTTTAGTAGACGACATCACTCTAAGTCAGTAGACTCAGTAGACACCAAGTATTCAAACAACACGATGCCTTTGCTCTGTGAAAAGGACACGATTCGAAGTAAAAGTGAGTATTTAAATCTAAGACTAAACCACTCAGTCTTTAAGCAACTTTGTGTTGCTTGAGGCCTCAGACTCGCACTAAGACATCTGGTCTTCGAAATTACGACTAATGACTAAATTCTAAGGCTGAAACCTTAGCCGCCTTGGGCTTAACTAGCTTAGCCCCGATCTTGCAAGCAACAGGTCAAAACTCATGACCGCTCGTAGCCTCTCTTTCATTCAGACTATGAGTATGTCTGTAAAGAAACTAGTGTAAATAGTGGAACACAGGCCACTGTTAGTCGTGACTCAAAACTAGTAGAAATCACAAATTCTAGCGACTGTAGCCGCCAGACATATCCTAAGTGTCCTTGCAATCCATAAATTATATAAATACCAGAAGTCTCCTATTGCCTTTCCAGGATCTTTGCAAACAGCAATCGAGGAAGCGGCCGAGAGATTTGGCGGAGTTCTTGGAACCATGCACAAGTGATATTTTGCGGAGCTGGAACGATTTGCGACGGGGCAAGGGCGGCAAGGACAGCCTGTGTGCAGCGTTGTATATCGTATGTCGTATGTGTTGTCTGGAGCCGTGGGGATTATGATTATTGATGATTGATTATTGACTATTGCAGCATTAAGCCTTTGTTTGGCCCTTAGGCCCAGCCTAAAGGCTTCGACTTCTCAGAGTGATTTCGGTGATTCTGTGAATTCTATGGTTTCTGTGGCACGAATGCCAGCGCCTCAAGACTCAAGACTTCGGTACTATTGATTATTGCTGATTATTAATACTGGTTACGTGTGACCATTTTCTGGATAGTAGTTACTAGTTTGTATTTAGTTTTATAGCTCTCTACGACTTTACGTGCTGCTAGGCGAACCTATGCCAGGCCAAATCTACAGACTCTGAAAGCTCCCGATACTTTACATATTCTGCAGGCCCATATCCACTTGCAACTTGCCGCAGGTTACAAACTTGTTTTTGTCGGCCCCACACCGGGTAGACTTTCAACAACTGGTCCGCTCCACCACCCAGCACCAACACCACCCAGCACCACCCAGCACCACCACCACAGCCTGCCCACAGTCCAGCAATTTCGACAAACAGTAATCATTAATCGAGTTGAAAATGTTTTGGAAAGTAGTGGATACAGAAGAACAGACGATTCATATGGCACGGGAGCAACCAAAACGTGGCAGCACCTTGGTGTGGCTGTGCTCCGTACTGGGCTTTGGGGCTAGGAGGGGGGGCAGGGCGGGGAGGGGAAGCCGGACAAGGGGGTGGGGGGTGGGGGGGGTGGGGGGCGGGGTGGAATGCGGAGTGGGGAGGGGTGGGGGGGGGGGTGGGGGGAGGTGGGAGGGGTTGGGGGCAGGTGGAATACGAAAAAAATACGAATGCGGCTTGGGTACTGGTAATACTGGCCCAGGGCCACCCCCTGGCCGCAGCGGGTGTCCTGGAGACTTGGATTTCTATTTTTTTCCTATTTTTCCTAGGAAAAATAGGAAAAAATAGGAAAAAATAGGAAAAAATAGGAAAACAATAGGACCAAAATAGGGAAAAAGTAAGGAACATATACGAAAAACATACAAAACACATAGAGCAAACATAGGGAAAAAATAGGAACCAGTTTCAGGCCCTGGGCCGTCGACCTCGCAAAATAGGAAAAAAATAGGATCGTGCCCCAAGTCCCGGCCCAGGCCCCCACCGGCCCCTCTTGGCCATTTGGCCGACCTGCTTGGCCGCTTGGCCCCTTCCCTGGCCCCTGGACCTGGCTTCGTCCTAGCCCAGCCCCTCGAAACAGGTTTTTTTTCTTTGAGCTGGTTTTCCAGCATTGAGGCTTTGAGCTGTTCCTGGAGCAAGCTTCAGACATGCTTGCAATCAGTGCACGAGTTTTTTTTGACCTGAGCAATGGCGCAATCAGTTCAATAGGTTCAATCAAGAAACAATGACAGGTGTGTTCTATGTGAGCAGAGTCCTTGCTTGGTTTTCCTACCAGAGTGACTAGTGCTGATGCGCCCTGTCAGGACTCAAAAAACAACACGGAGCCCGCTGTCAACATCGCCCAGTGGCAGGTCCAGTCTAGCACGTTGAGGTCGGCTATCGGGATCTCCCAGGGTTGGAAGGGTTGGACCGACTCGCCGGGCTTCCAGGGCCAGGGAATCAGCTTGACAAAGCGTGTGCGAGATTTGATCGATGTGGGAGCAGCTTGGCACCTCATGCGACGCAGTGAAACGGTGGCTTTGGATCCTGCCACCATGAAACTACAGCTTGAACATGTTTATGTCGATGTGTCCCAGGGGCATTGCCGGCAACCTTGGACCAAAACCGGCTCTCGCAAGGCAACCAAGGAATGTGTGACACTGGCATCGCCCTGCTTCACCAGCGGCACTGTCATGTACTCCTATGGCAGGGACCGATTTGTTCACCCGCAAGAGATGGCCAGGATGATGGGCTGGCCAGATGATATGGAGCTATCCTCGTCCATTTCACAGCAGAAATACAAGCATATGATCGGAAATAGTGTTGCCCTGCCTTGCTTGGGAAGCATTATTTGGACTTTTTATGTCATGAGGGAGCAGCTGTCAGGACGTGTTTGAAGTGGTTGAACAGGCTGTTATGATCAGAAAACTCTGGATAGAGTCGAGCATGAGCAGTTGTTTTTTTGGCGATGGATGATTCTTGCTTCAGACCATTGGGATGGTCTCGGGCAGGGTCGCGGACCGTCTGTGTCATTTGTCAATGTCAACCAGTCTAGCAGTCTAGCAGCGAAACAACCAGCAATCAAGTCAATGAATTTCTCAGCTTCACTGTCAACCCCACGCTTTGCCTCTTGAGCCTTAGCAGTAGCGGCTGCGCGAGAGTCCCCTAGAGTGTCCTACTTGGAGGGTCGGGGGACGTAGTAACTGGTTATTTTAGGGACTTATAAGTACCATAACCCCAATTAGGGTCCCTTTTAGGGTACTCAAAAGTCTACTTACTACCTACTTACTAAGTCCCCCGACCCTCCAAGTAGAGGCCCGAAATTTTATCTAGAGCATTAAAGTTCCCTCAAGGCCCAAGGCCCTACTAGGCCCCGACATTTCATCCCAGTGCCTGTCCCACTGGCCTTCAAGTGGCGCTTGAAGTTAGGTTTCTATTCTACCCTGTGCACGCTGGGCTCCTGGGGGTGTCAGTGTAACTTTCAGAATCGGAGATTGAGTAAGTAGGTACACACACAGTACAGTGTGCAGTGTGCAATGCAGATTTCAGTTTAGATGTAGAGGGATAAGGTAGCCTGGTCCTGAAGGAAGAACATGCTGAGTCAGGTTATCTTTTTTACAAGAATGAGGACTAGATGCTGAGTCAGTCCACCGACCCTTGAAAAGGAGAGCTTTGTAGAGCTTCACACCTAGGGACCTAGTGGGGAAGTGCTCCAATGCCTCAAGGGCTGTTGCTACAACTAACCACTTTGGATCTTGGTCAGTTTTATCAGGTTTGCTCTGATTGCTTAGAATGGATGCATAGCTGTTTGACATTGACAAGTCGACCGGAGGCGTGT